ACAAATATATTTACGTTTTGGCTTGAAGGAGACCTTACTGAGCCTGGTTTGTGTAGCGCATGCCTTTCCTTCAGGGTGCAGGCAAAAAGGCAGTACACTGTTTTTCTGATTCATACCTGGAAATGAGCACCAACTTCCACTGCAAACACAGCAAGACAGCAATCCAAGGCAAACACGAGACCATGAATATGGAGAGGTGTGTTCATACTGAGGGATCTCTTCAGGCATTCCTTGCCTGGGTAACCTGCTGTTTGCAGAAGGATGGAGTGAAAGGAGCCTTGGGTTGTAGCCCTCAACCTTGTGTGGCACTAGCTAGGGTGCTGCTGTGCTTTTCTCACACCAGTCTTGCTTTCTAACCAAATCCGAAGAGTAACAAACATAGGAGCCCACCACTCAGACTAGACCAAGCTTCCTAAAAGACAATGGCCATTGAGGTATGTAAATCACCATGCTGGGTACTAGCTAGTGCATCCTTGATCCCAAGGGATGGTCATTTTCTCTTGGATGATTCTGGGATGGTGATAAAGAAGGTCTTTACCTCCATTCCTGAGATGGTACCATCTGGGGACTCACAATGCCTTTCCATGTCCCTAGGTGAAGAGTGGATGGGGATCAAGGCTCCATGCCTCCTCCATTTCTTATTTACTTCCTCCTGGACCAGCTTTGAGAAAGCAGGTGACTATCTATAGGTGTTGTAAAGGGGGTTCTGGTTCCTTGACTCAGGAATCCTTGACCACCATGCATAGGTGCCCCTAATGCAAGGAGAAACCCAGAACCTAACTTTTATCATGGTTTTCCATTAGCAGAAGAGGCAGAGAGTGAGAAGGTTCCCCCTGAGCCTCCTTTTCTCCAGGCTGAGCCCCCCCAGCTTCGTCAGCCACTCTTCATCAGTCCTGTGCTCCAGACTCTTCACCAGGTTTGTACGACTGTGATTAAGAGTTTCTCTGTCTGTTGTCTGTCTCTTAGAAAGGCTTGAGCTGACATGGGATAAAGATTTTTCTCACATGGGCATCTTGCTTGCATTAGGCTTAAAAAAATCCAGACTAGGATAAATCTCACCTCTTTCCAATTACCTGCAGTGCAGACATCATCATCTGGTTTAGTTGCCCCTGTATGCTTTTGTAGTCATAGAATCATAGAATGGTTTGGGTTGGAACAGACCTTCAAGGCCATCCAGTTCCAATCCCCTGCCATGGGCAGGGGTGCCACTCACCAATTCCCGTCCAGCCTGGCCTGGAACAATTCTGGGGATGGGGCAGTCACAGCTTCTCTGTGCCAGAGCCTCACCACCCTCACACAGAAGAATTTCTACCTAACATGTAATCTAACACTGCCCTCTGTCAATTTAAAAATGTTGCCCCTTGGCCTGTCACTATCTGCTTGTATAAAAAGTCACTCTGCCTCCTTTTCATAAGTCCCTTTAGGCACTAGAAATTGCTATAAGCTCTTCCCAGAGCTGTCTCTTCTCCAGGCTGAACAGCACCACCTCTCTCAGCCTGTCTCCGTAGCAGAGGTGCTCCAGTCCTTTGATCATCTACCTGGTCTGAGAAAACCAAAGGCAGATGAATCCTATCCTACAAAACACCCTTAAACTCCTGGCCCACATCTCAGAAAAGCCTCCAGTTATGTTCTCTTGACAGGTCTTTTCTAAGTGAAGCAGAACTCTGCCAGAAACCCCAAAACCACCACCCAGGATCCCCAGGCAGAGCAGCTTGGTGGAGTTCCACTGCACACCCAGCAAAGACACAACCCACACATGAGTTAGTAGGTAATTAGGATTTCATCTCAGATTGAATAACCCATTGATTAAAGAGTCTCATTATCCACAGAAACTGTTAATTGTGTTTAAACTCCTGGTGATGGCATCCCGTGCCCAGGGACATGCATCACACACCCAAGAGTGAGCTGACTTACCCAGCTGATAAATAGACTGTGGAGGTATTGGGGAGTTTGAGCTGATCTAAAGAAAAATCATTCTAGACCGCTGAAGCACAGAGAAGGGGCTGACAGCATTTGGCACACACATAGCTCCTGTTATTGAAAATTATTGGTTATTTCAGCTGCTCAACACTGATGTGATAAATATTACTCCTGTGGCACTAACGTGGAAACTATTCTGCAGAGAGTTGCAAAGATGTGTGCAGGCTCACGGGCACTGGCGATGGAGCCAGTACGGAAGTTTCTCAGTGCTGAGGGAATGCTAAGGAGGGCTGGGAGTCTATTTTCCACTTGACAAACTTATCCTTAAAAAGTATAATCAAGAAACAGTCAGTGAACAGTGTGAGGCAAGGACGACTCCTTGCAAATTCATGTAAAAGAGAAAAAAGTCAAAACATTTGGATATTTTCAGAAGAAAATAGATCACTTACTCATCTTGTTTTAATGCAATGGCTCATTCTGAAATGTCTCTGAGTACTCATTTTTTAATAAACTCCCATTTACTCTTAAATTGAAACAATGCATTTCACTTCAATTGAAAGTTATTTTGTTTCTCACAGGAGTTTCATTTTCATTTAAAATGTATATCAATATCATTTCCAGTTGGACCCAAATTATTTCACCTAATTTTGTCTAACAAATAAATAAACTCAGTTTTATTTAACCATTTACAACCTTCTTCTCAAAGGGAATTGGCCCAGGCATGTTTCAGTCTGAATTTACAGTGAACTTTGCTGAGTGTTAGACCTGTCTCCAGAGGCTTAAAATCCAAGATAAGAAGCTTCTCTCTCCTCCTAGATAAGCACTGAACAATTACCAGATTTGAATAGGAACTTGCAATTAATAAAAGTGTGTGTGGGGTAATCAGAGCAGCATATTTTGTAGTCATAAAATAAATGAACTTTTGCTGTGTTTATGTTATACATATAATACAGCAGGAAGCAAAGATCAAAGCTGTGTTTATAAAGGGCTTGGCAAGTTGTGTGGTCGGAGGAAGCAAATGGGTTCACAGGAGGCACTTAAAGAAGGAAGCTTGGAATTTTAGCTGGTGCAAATCAGTGTACCTCCCTTGTCTTCAGCACAAGGGTAGTGATTTAGATCAACAGAGAAGCTGGCTCAAGGGTTTGAAGGGAGAATATGGTAAAACAAAATGCTGATAAGTATATGCCTGGTGTTTGCTCTCTCTACTGGGAATAACTCAGAGGAACAGGATCCTGATTCCCAGTTTCATTAGCTGTAAGGCTGGCAGGAGAGCTGGAACTAGATGATCTTAAGGTCCCTTCCAGCCCAAATCAATCTGTGATTCTGTGATTCTACAGCATAAAGGTGTGAATGAATTTTGGAGCTGGTTCCTGCTCTGTTGGTTAGCCAAAGAGGGGAGTATCAGACTGGGGCTGCCCAGACAGCTCAGCCATCTGGGACTGGCATCTCCCTGAGCCCCACAGTTCCCAAACTATTTATTTGCAGGTTACAAACCACCCCCTAATGCACTTGATCAATGAAAGGGAAACTGAGGCATGGTCGGATGGGATAATTCATCTTGAGTCTTGTAGTGAGGGAAGTTCACAGCAGCCTTACTGCTCCCTGCCTGAGTTACACTGCAAATTGCAATGCTCACACAGGGTGAAAACTCTTCACAGCGGTTTCACCTCCATGGAGAGCTGAGATAAACTCCCCAAACACCACCCTCACCCATAAAGCGAAACTGGAGCGAAGAAGTCCAAAACAGCAGTGTGATGAGAGCAGACAGCCACAGCCCTGATCCATCACCCTCAGGACACCTCAGCAGCTAAGGCACCATTGATCTGCGTGAATTATCTCACTGGAGGGTGTCTCACTGCCCTGGGCTCCAGCTGTCCCCATGGGGACACACACAGTGCTGGAGGGAAATCAAAACCTCAGCTGGTCAAAATCTGTCCTGTGGTCACAATGCTGTTTCCACTGAGTTGCAAGACAGCCTCGAGCAGGAGGATTTGAAAAACCCTGATAAAAAAGCGCAGAACTAGCTGCAATGTTTCCTTGGCCTCAGGGTTGGTGGGACACAAGTCCCCATTAGGCTGTGGGACACGTGGGTCCCAGCTGGCAGATGGAGTGACAGACCTCTCTGCTTTGCTGAGTTCTGTGCAAAGGCTGTTGCTGATATTCAGAAGTTACCTGAATTTCTCCTTATCCCCTCGGGTTTAGCTACAGCACTCCAGAGGGTTAATCAGGTCCCCTGAGCTGAGCGTTAGATGAGGTGGTGATGAAGAGCACTGGCTTCCCTGCACGTCATGGGCCACTGATGCTGGAAGGGGACATTGCTTTGGACATCACACATCCCTGGTGGACCCTATGCCTGCTCAGCCCCCTCTGCACACAGGGAGGTGCATGCTCTGCACAAACAACTTGCCAAAACTTTAGAACAGAGCTCGTCAGAAAACCCCACATATGCACCCAGTGACACAAGCACTATGCAAGGGCCAGCTGCTGAGGGGACCACTCCTGGGGGAAGTGGATCAGTCCTGGGAAATCACTTAGGAGCATACCTGGTCCTGCTCCAGGTCTCTGCACAACAACAACAACCCAGACAGTTGGTGAGACTTCTGCTTCAACACTGACGTGCTCCTTGGGGGGATCAAATCTCACTCATCCCCAACACTGTCCCTAGTTCGCAACAGGTGGGGGCCCTGAGAGGCACATTCAGGTGCCCTTCCCAACCTGGGAGGACAGAAAACTGTTTGGAGACCACTGTGCCATAATTACAGCCTGTTTGAAACAGAGCTGCTTCCTCCTTAGCCCGAACTTCATTAATTAAAATGCTGAATGCAGAATGAATTAATTAAAGCAATTATTATGCTGCTATTTTATTCATTTGCTATTTACTTTGATTATATGACTTTGGTTAATAAATATTGAATAAGTGTTAATTAATCGAGTTAATTCATTGCTAGTTTATTCATCCCTCAGTTCCCTATCCTTCATTTCCATGAATGAATTGTGCTCTGAAAGTTTGTCCCAAGGAGCAGGTCCCCAGGAGTTCAGTCACAGGGAGTGGGACTGGGAGGGGGGACAGGGTCACTTACCAAAAGGCAGGATGAAGAAGAAAGGGAACCAGCAGAGGATGAAAACACCAACAACAATGGCAAGAGTCTTGGCTGCTTTTTTCTCACGGGAGAACTTGAGGAGCCGCACAGAGAGGGAGCTCCTGAAGTTGTGCCCTTTGCTCCGGGTGCTGGAGAGAGGTTCCTCCAGCACACTGCGGCAGTGGATGCGCAGTACCACCTCCATGGATTTATTCCTCTCCTTCTTGACCCCTGCCTCCAAGCTCCGGGTGGTCCGCCTGGCCACCACGTAGATCCTGAAGTACATCACCAGGATGACCATGAGGGGCAGGTAGAAGGAGAAGAGGGAGGAGAACAGGGCATAGCCCGGCTCCTCCGTGATGCTACAGATGCTCTCATCTGGTGGTGGTGGCTCCTTCCACCCCAGCAGTGGCCCAATGGAGATGACCATGGAGGAGAGCCAGACAACCACGAGGATGACGCCCGCCTTCCTCTCTGTCATGATCGTGGGGTACTTGAGGGAGTACTTGACACCGATGTACCTGTCCACAGAGATGATGCACAGGCTCATGATGGAGGCAGAGCAGCACAGCACATCCACCGCTGCCCAGATGTTGCAGAAGATACGCCCAAACACCCAGAAGCCCAACACCTCCAAGGTGGCCGAGAAGGGCAGCACAGTGGTGCTGAGCAGCAGGTCGGCGATGGCCAGGTTGACGATGAAGTAGTTGGTGACCGTCTGCAGGTGCCGGTTGCAAGCCACCGAGAGGATGACCAGGATGTTCCCCACGATGGCTGAGAGGATGAAGACAGCCAGAAAGACCCCAACACCCACCGCCTGCACATCCAAGGCGAAAGTCAGCGTGGTGTCGTTGCCGTCGGGGTTCTCCTCACCTTGCAGCCCCCAGGACCGGTTGGCACCGTTCTGGCTGCCTTGTCCCGTCCGGTTCCCACTCAAGCTGCCATTGCCGAGCTCAGGGAAAGTCATTGTAGAAAAGGTCCGGGCTCCATGGAGGGCGAGGAGAAAGCGATGCCGAGGCGCAGCTCCCC